TATATATAGGTTTTTATTTTTTTTAAAACATGTTTATTGACTAATTCTTATGAAATCTCAGTTACATCGTAAAACTGTGTCATATACCATATAAGAAAAATTGAATCATACTATATTACATTTTAGCATCAAATTCTTTAATTATAATTTTGGGTTTGAATTTTGTGAATAAAAAAAATATGATTGAGATTTTATTAAAAGTAGTTAATCAATTTTTTTTAACAAATATTAATATATATTTTAGCTATGACTCAATGATTAAGAAAATATATTTATTTTTAGATTTATAATTATTATGTAAATGACATCAAATGCTACATTACTAATTGTTTTCAAGACTAGTTTACTTGTATATGGATAGATAAAAAAAAATATTACGACCCTTTCGCCCATTTTTAATTATTGTCATATTTTAAAAAAAATTAATGATAGAAAAATAATCAAAATTTAATCCATTTATTTAAGTTTGGTAAATAAATTTTATCAACTATTATATATTAAATATAAACTGCTATTTTATGAGTGTTTTAGAAATTTATAATTTTTTTGTTAAATTTTTTTATCTATTTTTTTTAAACTATAATTATTTATAAATAAAATATTAATATTTTAAAAATAATTTATTAATAAATAAAAACAAATTTTTGTTATAATATAAATTATTTATCATAAATTTAAAATATAATTTATATATTTAAAAATATTTATTTATATAAATTTTAAATATAATTTATATATTTAAACGTAATATTTATTTATATATAATTTATTATAAATTTTACTTATATGTAATAAACATCCTCATACATTAGTCGGACTAAAACACTAGTTACAACAAATATCTTATGGCCGTTGCTGTCCATTTGTAACCAATGCCAGATTTCCCCCTGCTTTCAGTTTTGTGAAATAATTGAGTACTGATATAAATAGATTTGGAATTAAATTATATTCACAATTAATGAATGAACAATAAATTATTAATAAACTTACGAGTATTTAAAATTTTGTAAATATAATTTATTCATAATCTATATAAATGAACTTGATAATTAATTAATCATTCCCCTTAGTTAATAGATAAGTTTGTTAATTAATGGAAGATCTTAAAATTTTTATTTATTTATTCTATTATATTAACCATTTATATCCACTCATAATTGATACCAAATATTCTCCTACATTTAAAAAATAATAATTACTCTATATAAATATCATATAATATATTGCGACACTTTCTACTTCATATGTCATCGTACATAAATAATAAATAAAAAACAATTAATAACATAATTTTTATAAATAAAATCAAACGTATTGAGGTAGAAAGTATCACATTCTTAACAAATAGCATAACCAAAAATTGTAAGGAAATAAAATTAGCGTATTTAAATAAATAAACAAAAAATATCTTAATCTAATATTAGTTATGTCTTAATGTCACATGTCCTATCAAAACTAGCGGGATCGAGGCACTTCGTCCCTCTATATGTATTTTATTTTAGAATTTAAAATAATTTATTTATAAAATTTTAAATTTGTTGTTTTTTTTGTGATGTAAAGTTTTCAATTTTTATAAATTAAGTTCGAAATTCATTTCACACTTATTTAAATAAATTTAAATTAACGTGTAATGTATTTTGTTAAAAAAAAGAGGAAAAATTGAGATTCTTTGTTTATAAATGTCTAATTTTTCTAAAATTTGATATTAAAAATTATTATGATGATAACAAAATATTCAACTTGAAATTTAATATTTACAAAATATTATCGAGTGGAATATGTATAGCCTAACTGTTTAGCAATTGAAGTTATCAATTTCCATTGACAATATTACCAAATTCAGTGTTTGAAATGCTTTGTACCTTGAGTCTTTTTCCTTCCATGATTCACAACCGTGAACTATAATCATTGATCGTTTATGCTTAACAGTCTGGAACCAGAACGGCCCGTTCTGGTTGCACTTTTAGTGTGTAAATTTTGCACCTGGAACGGGCCGTTCCGGATGCAAAATTAACACACCAAAAGTGTAACCAGAACGGCCCGTTCTGGTTCCAGGTGTTTTAAAAAAAATTGCCATCTACGTGGCATCCACCTATGCATCTACGTGGTATCCACGTGGCCACACAGTTAACTCCGTTTAAATAATTTGGACGGAAGTCCCAAATTGAAACCAATTAATTTATTAGGGACCAAATTGAGACCAATTAATTTATTAGGGATCAAATTGAGACAAAAAATAAAAGTGGGACTAAATTGAAACAAACAATTATTATAAGGAATCAAAATAAAAAAAAAAAAAAGTAAATCAATTTTTTGAAGGAAGATTTAAATTTTTAAAAAATTACTTTATTTTCCCGAAAACCACATTTAATCTCACAAACTAGATGCCCACTTTCTTTATAGGTATAGAGAAATGTTATATCCTCAACTCAAGCAATGTATATAAGAGTGAATCACCAACATATTATCATACTTAAATTTATAAGAGCGATACTTGTTGGACACATAAACTGTCCAAACATCTAATTATCATTCTTTATTTTTAATTTTATCTCTTTCTTTCGATCATAAAATTAAAAATTGGTAAACATGGACTCCAAGTGCGGAAGAACGTTGTTTGCTATGACAACGATTTTACTAATCCAAATATTCCCCCTTACAAGTAAGTTGCACACAATTTTATGTCTATGATGATTTCGTTTACTATGATGCCTTTTTTTTTTATTTTTTTTATTTTTTTATTTTATAAAACTGATTGTTTTATTAATTCAAGAAATCAAGTTTATATCATAAGATGTGACTAAATTAGACACAACTGTATTCGCTCCGGTTTGTTTTGAGGTTAAAAAATCACTCCTAGCACTTTTTTTACATAATAAATATACACGTGTTGTAATGTAAATTTACGGTTAGATTACTTTTTACATATATTCAAATTACGTTTCATGGGACAAAATGAGTTATCACTTAACAACTCCTAATGTAAAGTTTTCAATTTTTATAAATTAAGTTCGAAATTCATTTCACACTTATTTAAATAAATTTAAATTAACGTGTAATGTATTTTGTTAAAAAAAAGAGGAAAAATTGAGATTCTTTGTTTATAAATGTCTAATTTTTCTAAAATTTGATATTAAAAATTATTATGATGATAACAAAATATTCAACTTGAAATTTAATATTTACAAAATATTATTTTAACGTGAATCATGAAGATATTCTCAATGGTGACTTTTAATTAAAATCCTTCTTATATGTGAAATAAATAATAGAAAATATCAATGGAATAAAAAGCAGAAATTTTTTTTTGGAAGAATTACTGTAGTAGAAGTATAGGGAACCACAAAATGTTGGATCTTAATTTTATTGCAAAATGTTGATACTTCAAATGCAAACAAAGCATTAAAAAACAACCTAAAAACCAAAGTCAAAACTAAATTATTGTCATTTATTAAAAAAAAGGCATTTTAATAGATTGATTTATTCTTATTAAATAATAGCATCCTCGTTTATGGAAACTGTCTCAGACCATTATTTGATACCTATTTCAATGGTTAAGTTATTTAAAGTGAAAGCAATGCCATTTGTACTAAAAGTACAACCACCCTTAGTTCTTCGCAATGCAATATCATAAAGTTGTCAAAGGGCAAATACCTATCCGTTATTCTAAACTTTATCCAATTAAGGGAAGTCAATTTGACAGTTGAAATGAAACAATTTGCGGGGAAAAATGCGATGTGAATATTCCAGACCCAAATATTCATTTAAAAACTCCAATAAACCTATAACAAATTTGAACTAGGAGAAAATCTCAACATGGGGCAATTTTTCAGAGTGAACGAAACAACGAAATCTAATATACATAAGCGCAAAGGCACAAAAATAAAAGAAAACAAAATTACTCCAAATCGCATCTAAACCTTTATAAGTCGCACTATTAACTATGTATGGTTTACGTTTTTAGAGGAAACATTCAAAATGAAAGGAAAACAAAATGAAATGAAATCAAGAATGAAGGGGATGTATATAATGGAAAGTATAATAAAGGAAGTGAGAGAGGATATACCGTAATGGAGAATAGATTATGCACCGATGTGTAGTTGCCTTAACAAAAAGAGAGGAAGCAAGAAAGACAAAATTGTGAGAGTGGGAATAATGAGTGCAGTTACTTAAAAAGGTTATTTGGTGAGGAATAAAAGATTTTAAAAATATAGAGATGACATTTACTTGTATTAAGATGGTGGTTATTAAGGGTAAAAAGGTCATACTAAAAGTGGAGACCAAATGGTGGTTATGAATATTTGTATCCCTTTTATATAATGTTATAGATAAAACCTAATACTGAAGCCTAGGCCTTGTAACACCCCAGTTTTTATTTCACTTTTTATTTATTTCAATTGAGGGTATTTTGGTAATTTTATAAAGGTATAGGGGGATTTAGTAGCTTGGAACGGGCTGTTCCAGAATTGGAATGGGCCGTTCCAAACTACCAAATTGTATGTGAGTTAATAGCCCAGAACGGGCCGTTCTCAAGTTGGAACGGGCTGTTCCGGACTATTAAAAACTGCTTTAAACTTTAAGTGGGAACGGGCGATGGCAGTTGTGAGTAATAAATGCACACCAGAATGGGCCGTTATGGGTGTGATTTTTACCCATGTTTTTATGGTCCAGAATGGGCCGTTCCGAATTTGGAACGGGCCGTTCCGGCGAAGCCTGAGGCCTATAAATTGAGCTCTCTGCCACTCCCAAAAAGCACACCTCTCATTTTCTGATTTCTTTTCTTCTGCTCTCTCTTCTTTTCCTCTACCTTCTACTTTAGACCGAGGGGAACCCAGGGAGGGAGATCAACCAGATCTTGTGTAGATTCAGCTTCTATATATCTATTCAGCGCTGACACAGCAAGCGTTATCAAAGAGATTGTAGCCATTTTGTTGCAACATGGTTCACCCATTAATATCAACACGTACCCTTACTATGCTTATGCCTCTGACCCGCAACACATTTCTCTAGACTATGCATTGTTTAAGTCAAAAAGTCCTGTGGTTACTGATGGAAGCTTCCAGTACTATAATTTGTTTGATGCACAGCTTGATGCTTATCATGCTGCGTTTGAGAAGATTGGTGTGTCCAATATAACTCTCACTGTCACCGAAACTGGTTGGCCCACTGCGGGTAATGAGCCCTACACAACCATACAAAACGCTGCGGATTACAACAAAAACTTGATCGCTCATGTGAAATCAGGGAAAGGGACACCAAGGAGACTTGGCCAAGGTTTGAATGTTTTTATTTTTGAAACGTTCAATGAAAATCTCAAGGCACCTGGAATTGAGAACAACTTTGGAGTCTTCTATCCAAATAAGGATCCCGTGTATCCCTTGTTTTAATTTCTTTTTCCTATTGTATACTACTACAATAAAGATTGATTGAGTCCAACTCCTAGCAATTATCTCAACTTGGCTCATTGTTTTAGTTTGATTCAACGGAATATAACAACTATTTAATAAATTATACTATTGGTGTAAGAGTTATTCTGCTGTTAATCAATTACACATTTTTTTTAGTATAACTTATTATCAAAATTAACAAATTTTCGTATTTTGTGAAAGATAGGTTTTACGGTGCATATCCTTTTTTTAATGATATATATAATCAGTGTTATATAATTTATTAGTTGTGTTGCACTTTCTGTCCTTTTACATAACTAAACATATATCACGAGATTAAAATCATATTTAATTTCTATGATCTTTTAAATATATAATTTTCTTCCTCAAATTTTTATTACAAGTTTGATCTTTATAGGTTTCTAAATTAAGTAATATTAGTCGACCACTAACATATAGTACAAAATTAAACAGAGAATATGTAAAATATGAGTGACACTATCTGATAATTAGTTAATTATGATAAAAGAAATATTATTATAAAATAAGACTAAAATTGTTTTACTAGATTAAGAGTTTTCATTGATATATAAAAACAAGATAGCACATATGTAATTAAAAATAATAATGTTATTCCTTATATGCATAGAAGTTAATGTGGTTAAGCAATTGTCAAGTAGTGTCATTTCCATTCTATGTCATCATTTTTTATTTAATCTTAGAAGTATATGTTCATGGTGAATCAATATTGCTTAATTTTAAAAATTAAATATATCAAATTTGTAATAAAAAAAATTTAGGAATCAAAACTATATATTTGCTAAAAATTTTAGTGGTTTGGAACGCCCCATTCTAATTTGGGAACGTCCCGTTCCCATATAAAATTTGTAGACAATTTTTGTATTTTTTGGAACGGCCCGTTCCAGTTTGGGAACAGCCCGTTCTAGGCTACTAAATCACCCTCGTTTTAGTAGTTTGGAACGGCTCGTTCTGGGCTACTACATAACCCTTATTAGGCTTTGGGCCTTCGTACAATCTGTGAAAATCGGGTTGTTACAAAGAGAAGAATATCCGCAATGTAACACTATACCTAGGTGGGTTGAGTTTAGGGTTTTAAAGTCTCTGACTAGTGGTTTAATTGATCTTGAGTGAAAAGTATATAAGGTTCTATTTTGAGTTGAGCTTCATAAGCTCATGATCTTCAAACCTTAGAGAGAGAAATAAGAGAGATAGACTTTCGGATTTTTGACTTCTTTTTTCTTCTAGATTTCCTAGAGGCACGATAGGTTTCTCGGATTCTCGGTGTGACAATTCAAACATTGGAGGCTGAGAAGCTACTTTGGGTGGTTATAGAACTTGGGGAAGCTTGAAGTTCTTCCTTCTCCTCTCCTTCGATTTGGTTAACTCAAAGTTGAGGTAGGGGAAGATAGGAATGATACATTGTTGTTCTATGGAGTTACATGTTGCTAGGTAGTGATTAAAACATGTTTATGTTGGTGGATTTTGAATGATATGATGAAAACGTTGAACTTGAAAGGGTTGGGTTCATGAAAGTGATAATTGAATGAATTGTTGGATTAGTGGTTGCATGTGGGTTCTAATGCCAAAATTGAGTTGTGGATGTTGTAATTGTGTGATATGATGTTTTGCATGTCTTGGATCTTCTATTTTTTAGGAGCTTGGGGCAAAAAGTTGTCCGCAATTCAAAAGGATAATTTCTTAGCATCTCCTTTTCCCCCTCCAGCAGGAGCATTCAGCGCTGACACAGCAAGCGTTATCAAAGAGATTGTAGCCATTTTGTTGCAACATGGTTCACCCATTAATATCAACACGTACCCTTACTATGCTTATGCCTCTGACCCGCAACACATTTCTCTAGACTATGCATTGTTTAAGTCAAAAAGTCCTGTGGTTACTGATGGAAGCTTCCAGTACTATAATTTGTTTGATGCACAGCTTGATGCTTATCATGCTGCGTTTGAGAAGATTGGTGTGTGTCTTAGCATCTTCTTTTCCACCATCAGCAGGAGCATTCAGCGCTGACACAGCAAGCGTTATCAAAGAGATTGTAGCCATTTTGTTGCAACATGGTTCACCCATTAATATCAACACGTACCCTTACTATGCTTATGCCTCTGACCCGCAACACATTTCTCTAGACTATGCATTGTTTAAGTCAGAAAGCCCTGTGGTTACTGATGGAAGCTTCCAGTACTATAATTTGTTTGATGCACAGCTTGATGCTTATCATGCTGCGTTTGAGAAGATTGGTGTGTCCAATATAACTCTCACTGTCACCGAAACTGGTTGGCCCACTGCGGGTAATGAGCCCATAAGAGAATGTAGAAGAAAGAAGTCAGAATTGAAAGAAGTTAGAACTGAAAAGTGTGATTTTGGGAGTGCCAGAACGCTCTATTTATAGGCATCAGGCGTCGCTGGAACGACCCGTTTCAAATCTGGAACGGCCCATTCTGGACTCTGACGGCATGTGTAAAATTCTCATCTAGAACGGCATGTTCTCAAACTAGAACGACCTGTTCTCAAACTAGAACGGCCCGTTCTGGGGTTGCACTTAACCCACAATGGCCATATCTGGAATGACCCGTTCTCAATTAGGGTTATAGGCATTTTTGGTAATTTGGAACGCCCCGTTCCCATCTAAAATTTGTAGAAAATTTTTGTATTTTGGAATGGCCCGTTCCAGTTTGGGAACGACCCGTTCTGAACTACAAAATCACTCTCGTTTTAGTAGTTTGGAACGACCCGTTCCAATTTGGGAACGGCCCGTTCTAGGCTACTAAATCACCCCTATTGGGCCTTTGGACCCTCCAAAAATCTGTGAAAATCGGGCTGTTACACTGATGATCACCTATATAACAACCATAGGAAACCAACATAAGAAAGGGAGTAAGAAGCATTTCACTATGATTCACAGTATTGGAATGCAAACCAGATAGTCAAATACAAACAAGACATATAACAAAACATAACAAATACAAATAAACATTATCATCATGCTTGTTTCATTCATAGCATAATAAACAACAACAAAAGACATTATAATGCATTATGCAATGGACACAGAAAACATATTATTATGCATGTGACACTGGTAAAAAATCACATGTGTGCATTACTATTAGCAACACACGTAGAGTAACCTAGAAGTACATGTAGAGTCATACTTTTTAGGCACTCTCGCCAAGAGGACATGTTACCAGAGTCTAGTCGTGATAGCTAAGCCGTGTAAGATACATCCCATGTACACGAGGGCAGAACTGAGACTCTCCAAACCGAGCTATCCCGATTTCCAAGCTTTTACACAAGGGACCTTTCCTGATCGTGTATTTCATATTATACCCTTAAAAATATGTTTATGTATATGATGCATGTCAAACAAACTCAATGCATTACATCCACATAATCTCACTTCACATATCACATTTCCCCATATCACATCATATATCTTAGATAAATTCTCAAATACAAAAGCTAATCATTAGTAAAAAGGTAGTATCAATAGTACAAGGTAATACATCATCCAATTCATACATGGTTCATACAAAAGTATGATACATTGCATTTCAAATTGATGAGTATGACTTATCTTAAATAATAAAGGAGAAAAAAGGAGAAAAGATAAGAAAAGATAAGAAAAAAAAGAGAAACATGAGCATCAGCATGAGTCACGGTCATGACTCATGAATCACAATTGTGAATTCGATCACGCTCATGGTTGATCGGTCACACCTGTGATTGATTGGTTACGCCCATGACTCGTCGGTCACGCCCATAACTTTGATCGTGTGATTTTTGACTCTTTTGACCCCGAAATTCATCCCATCACCAGAATTCATCAAAAGAGAACATTTAATCGGTAGAAACATTCCAAATTATGTAAGTAAGATTTTAAACAGAACAATTCATACATATAATTACCTACTTAAGAAATCTTCTCATACAACTACCACTACATTCTCTTAGGGTTTTCCATGGGAACCCACAGGGGCCTCAGATATACAATTACAATTCAAAACACATAATTGATTAACCATTCAAACAATTTATGTCATTAAGAATGTATAAGAAGAATAAGGGGCAAAATAGATGCATTTAGGGAAACCCCTTATGCATATACATACAACATACACAAGATTAGGACTCAATCTCACTACTCGACATACAAACCCACACTCAGAGCAAGATTTCTTATTTCCCCTTTATCTTGATAAGTAGAAGAAGACGAATGCATGATCCCAGGATAGTTTCCTTCTTGCTCGTATTTTTTGAGCTTTAAAGCGTGAAAGAACACGTACGTTAAATAAAGAAGCATAAAATTGGTTAAGAGAAATTGTTCTTTTAACTTAGCCCCTTTAATCCTCCATTTAAAGTGTATTAACCTTAATTACGAATCTTTTCCCCTTTATTCACTAGTACAAAAAAGGTAATTTACGTCGGTTATTTTAAGCTTTTTACGTTAGAAAAAGGTTCGACGTAAATGCGGGAAACGTAAATTTACGTCGGTTGTGATAGTCGACGTAAATTTACGTTGGACATTCACAAGAGCCGACGTAAAAAAGTTATAAACAAAAAAAAACATAACGCGTGCAAGCAGAACGGGCCGTTATGCAAGAAGAACGGGCCGTTCTCCAAGCAGAATGACCCGTTCTGCTTGGAGAACGTCCTGTTCTGCTTGGAGATCCACCCAAACGTGAAGAATTTTCTACTTAGTATTAACTAATATATTAACAAACGATGATCCACCCAAACGCGAAGAAGAGGATAATATTAACTAATATATTAATAGATCAATACATACATTTATTTTCAATATATTAGCTAATATATTAAGAAAGGATTTTTCAAATTAACCTCAAACGCGAGCCCAATGCAATCGGTCAAAAACTCAAGAACCACCCAAACGCGCAAACGTACACTCAGTTGCAATACCCTCAAACGAAATCTTAACTCAAAAGACTCGAATTGCACATACACTCAAAGTTCTCTTGTTTAAATATTGACGCGCGCGCGAAGACATTTGAAATTTGTAGATATTTTACGTCGGACCTCGTAGGGGCCGACGTACAAAACTTGATTATAATTACAAAAATGCCACCACATTTTTTTAACGTCGGATTTTTCTTTGTCCGACGAGAATACAGTGACGTAAATTACCCTTTTTCTACTAATGATTTTAGTTAAATAAAACCTTTAATTAAAATACCTTATATTATATTCCAAAACATATCAAATAATTAAAATAAATACTAAAGAACTTCATTAATTAAAATAAAAATATCAAAATTATTAATACTTATATTATATTTTATGAAAAACAAAATATTACATATATTAGTAATGTTAAATTATTATATGAGAAATAATTAAATTTCACTTCGATATTAAAAAATATAATGATAGCCTATGCATACTACTTTAATTCTCTATCATAGTTAACATATAATGAACTTAATTAACTATCAAAGAAAAAGGGGGGAAAAACATCTACTAAAGGAGATTAATTAAACTAAAGTCAAATATTAAGTTACATGCTATATATTTTGAAAAAGATGAAATGAAAGAACAAAAAACTTAAATTTTTCAAAAAAATATAATAAGTAAAAAATATAAACTTCAAATTTACCTCTACTAAGAAGAATAATATAGAGGGGAGAACATAAGAACAGTGATAGAAATGGACAAAAGAAAATGAAAAAAAACAAAATAAACAAAAAATTTGTTAATACAAACTCAAAAATTAAAGGAAAAATATTGAATTGTTGGAGAAATAAATTAGGCTTTCTAATAATGTTTTTAGGTAAGGAGAAAATATAGAAAGCAAAGAATATCCACAATGTAACATTATACCTATATGGGTTGAGTTTAGGGTTTAAAGTCTTTGACTAGTGGTTTAATTGATCTTGAGTGGAAAGGTATATATAAGGCTCTATTTTGAGTTGAGCTTCAAAAGCTCATGATCTTCAAACCTTAGAGAGAGAAGCAAGAGAGATAGACTTTGGGATTTTTGACTTCTTCTTTTTCTTCTAGATTTCCTAGAGGCACGATAGGTTTCTTGGATCCTCGGTGTGATGATTCAAACATTGGAGGCTGAGAAGTTGTATTGGGTGGTTATAGAACTTATGGAAGCTTGAAGTTCTTCCTTTTCCTATCCTTCGGCTTGGTTAACTCAAAGTTGAGGAAGGGAAGCTAGAAATGATACATTGATGTTCTATGGAGTTACATGTTGCTAGGTAGTGATTAAAACATGTTTATGTTGGTGGATTTTGAATGATATGATGAAAATGTTGAACTTGAATGGGTTGGGTTCATGAAAGTGAGAATTGAATGAATTGTTGCATTAGTGGTTGCATGTGGGTTTTAATGCCAAAATTGAGTTGTGGATGTTGTAATTGTGTGATATGATGTTTTTCATGTCTTGGATCTTTTATTTTTTAGGAGCTTGGGTCGATTTTTGTTGTATGTATTATGCATAAATCACAGTCACAATGGGTGCGCCTTTATGATGTCGGGTGCAGTTTCAACCAGAGGTTTCTAACTCAATCACTTTGAATGTAAGATTAGTGGCGTTGGGTGTGAGGAGAAAGACTTGTCTCGGGTTGAGATGGCGCCGAGCATGGTTTGAATGGCAACGTGCATAAGAATAGGGGAAAATCTCTAACTTGGTGACGTTGGGTAGGAGTCAGTTAGAGACTCTCTACATAATATCAGGTTAGACATGAGTTTTGCCATGTAAGGGAGGTCCTAAGGGATCTCCACCTTGATCACACTGAGTGCAGCTTGGATGACATCAAGCATAAACAAGGCAGAAAACTTTCCGCCTCAATGGCATCGAGCATAAGTCTGTGATGATTGTTCTATATATGTAGATTGGATATGACATATATAGATGATTATATGGTATTGGATGATGGTGAACATATGTATACTGTATATTTGTATGATGTTGTTGATCTTTGTATGTATTGATTAGATGTGATGTATATAGATGATGTATGGTGAGGTGTGGATATTGAGAGTACGATATGGGATTAAAGCATGTTGGCTAACCTAGAACTCAAGTAGAGGAAAAATGTAATGCATGCTAAGGTCGTGGTAAACCTATACCCAGTTGTACTATTCATAATGATGGGAATGAACTTTCCTATTATAAGTGACAATATTTGAGAAATTAGATGAGGGATTGGTATCCCACTTTGCTGTTGTCGAGCTAGTGCTTTAGGTGCTAACACGATTAGATTTGTTTGGTAGGATAGAGTCACTTAGACTACTCATGTTGTTAGTAGATATTTGTAGGTGAATGAGTAACGATACGTTGGTTGACATGTTTGCGTATGGTGTATGGTGTGGTGTGTTCATATCACTAGTGAAAAAAAGACTTTTAAAATCGGTTATTTTTGACTTTTAAAATTGGTTCTTTAACCGATCTTAAAAGAGCCGATTTTAAAAGTTAGACTTTTAAAATCAGTTAAAAAACCGATTTTAAAAGTTTATAACTGATTTTAAAAATCCGGATGTGGAAAAAAAATTAAACTGGAACGGCCGTTCCAAAACCGGAACGGGCCGTTCCAGTCTGATCGAAAGGCCTAAAAGGCCACTTGGAGAATGACCCGTTCTCCAAGTAGAACGCCCCGTTCTGCGAGGAGAACTGCCCGTTCTCCAAGTATAACGACCCGTTCTGCAGGGAGCACGGCCCGTTCTCCAAGTAGAACGACCTGTTTTGCAGGGAGAACGGCCCGTTCTGCAAGGAGAACGGCCCATTCTCCAAGCATAACGTCCGTTCTCCTTGCAGAACGACTCGTTCTGTTTGGAGAACGGGCCGTTCTCCCTGCAGAACGGGCCGTTCCAGTTTCGAACACAACTAGATCTGCAACACAAAAACGAGAAATCATGAAAAAATGAAAAGAAACACAAGAAGAACATGAGAAGACGAAAATGA